TGGCTCTTACTCCCTTCAATCATGCATGTATATGATTATAGTCTATCAGTGCAATCCTATGCATACTAATCCACTGTGTCTTGCTCCCAAGTATCAGCACAACAGCATACAAATACTTATGCACTGTATTATATGGGACTATTCTAGTATCACTTTACTGCTCCTCAAAAATAACTCTTTAGCCTGGATGGGCAAATTTTGGTCTCTAGATGCTGGACTACAGTTCCCATCAGCTCCATGAGGAATGCTGGGAGGTGCTTTCCAACAACACTAGGAGGGCTGCATTTTGTTCAACCTGGTTTAGCCTGTTCTTCCCTCACTAGTCTGTCATTACAAACACTCTAGAGCCAGAGAATGAGAGGAATAACTGATAACTGGCTATCTCTTGACACAAGTATTGGATAAAGGCTGAAGGACAGCCACATGGGACACATGACCATTCTGCAATGACACTATTGCCGTTTCCTGTGATGAACAACAAAAATCATGTCAGCACATATTTGGGAGTGTGGTGGAATTCAGCAGTGGAATTGATCTCTCTGGCAGCTCAGTTTTAGTATGCGGACCCAGAGCCCACTCCCTTCCGGCAACAGGAAATGCAGATGCTCTTACAAACAGACATAAAGAAGCCTTTACAAAAGAGCTGCTTCGAAGCACAAAGTTGCACATGGAAGCAAATTACCATATGCAGACGTGTATGAAATCATTGCACAAGGTAGCATGAGTATATCATAGTACCACTGCAATGGAAGGCATTTGTATTACTCTTCCTTCTCTGAATAAATTCACATGACAGCTTCATTTCATTTCTTCATTCAGCTTGGAGGCCAGATGGCATTAGAATCATTTACTTCACCTTGTTGTGTTTAATTACTACAATCAACACACTATTTTCCAAATTAATCATAACAAAGTAATTTCATTAGTAACACAGCAGGCTGTTGAATTATTAGCATCATAACAGTTTGCAAACAATTAAACTTTATTTGAACCTTAAAAATTTGCAGCGTGGAACATTATTGTAAGATCTAATGGCAGTATAGTACAAATCTGGTACAGAGCAAATAATCAAGCAAAACGCTGCATAAAATATGACTTATAAAATAGCTCTCTTAGTATTCAGAGGAACACAAAGGAAGTATAAGTAAACAAGAACAAAGCAATTAGCATATATTGCAACATTCTCTTCCATCTGAGTTACTAAATGCAATATTCTCTCACCCCACCCCTCAAAAGGTTATGGTACTTATCAAGATTTGAAAACAAACATTTCAACCACTTTATTTTGCTGCTTTACTGCATAGCAAGTCTGGTTACAAGATGGGAATCTTGTACCTTTGTAACGTCTTCATTTCTAATGTGTGTATGAGTGTTTGCTAACATATCACTTGAGTAAAAAGGTTACAAAAACAGTACAATGGTGGCTACCTTTATCAGTCTATCAATAGGAAAAATATGTGAAGAGTCTTGTCATTCATCAGTTGGCTAAGGACTCCCTCTCCTGGATTTACATGAACATGGGGAGAGGAGTCCCTCCAAATATTTTTGGTTGCAAAAGATTCATCTGAGCATGATAAATTTGGGTGGGGGATGGGGTTCCCATTAGTCCAACATGCTATGAAAGTCTACTGCCATCTACTGGCAAAGCATGGTAATATTCTTTTTCTCTTCAGATTATCATTACACCACCAGTTTTGGTAGCACTTGCAATGTTCAGTTTATTCCTAAGCACTGCTCTTCAAGTTTTTAGATCAGACTCAGAAAATTGCAGAATGTTCTAATTCTAATAAATACTTTTTCATCCACATAACATTTCTTTTTAATGTCAATATCAAATAACCTAAATAACACCTAGATTTTTATTTCTTTGTTAAGGTGCAGCTATTTATTTATTTATTTATTAGATTTCTATCCCACCCTTTTAGACAAAGTCTACTCCGGGCGGGTTCCGTTAAACATTGTAAACTAAAACCGTTAAAAATAATTCAAAACAATAGTGATTAGTAATGCTTAGTAATGCTCAAGATGGGAAAACAGAAAATTATAATAAAAATAAAGTCAAGTATTGACAGGAGGGAAGGCCTGCCTAAAAAGCCAAGTTTATAATTGGCTCTTAAAAACAGCTAGAATGGCCATTATGATGGTTGAAATCCTCTTCTGCAGTGACACAAATGACATCACTTTTAGATGCAAATTGCTCTAAGTTATATAAAGTTAAGAAATTGTAGGCATTATCTGTTGCATGCCAGGTCAAGTGACTCAGTATGCAACAGACTTCGTCTATGGAAATTTCTTAATATATGGCATTTCACTCCCAAACATTACACTGTTTATGTGACCACACAACAATGTTTTAATCAATTTGTAGGCAGAATTAAAGGGTTCATTGCTTTGTAAAACTATTTCAGAAGGGTACACTTTGAACTGTAAGCAGAAAGGGGATTTGAATGTTCCCCCATCATGGGAGTGGAGATCCTTACACGCATAACATTAAATTCAGACTAAGGATGGAGATTTGTTCTCAACTCAATGTCCATAATATTTTAGTCAAAGTTAGTTGCATTTGGGTCCCACGGAAATCAACATGAAAAGTTAGTAATGAGTAACAATCAAACATGCAGAGCAAGCTTTTGCGAATAAAACCCACCACTTCTAGCATTATTTTTAGTTGTCTAAATAAATATATCATCTCCCCAACCTTTATATTGTGTAAAAGACCACATGGCGCTCTCTGTAGTTTTTATGTCTTCATGATTTCAGTGGGAACTAAGACAGGAGCTAACCGTATTAAAACAAAATATCAGGGCTCACTTAACTCACAAATTGAAAGTCTTCTATATGCAGCAAGCATTTTTTAAAATTGAAAAATACATAGGGAAATATGTATAAGGGGAAAATAATCTCCAATTTGTAGTCTAAAGTAGCAGTCTGACAATAGTTTTATTTTTCGCAAAGTGTTTGCCATACTGAGCCTTGACTCACACACTGTTGTGCAACTAAGATAAGAGATCATGGAGAGCAAAGCTCTAGCAGTTCACCTTCTTGAGGAACAACAACAAAACTAACTTACAGTATTTGCTGGCGTATAAGATGACTTTTTTGCCCCGAAAAACATGCCTCCAAGTGGGGGGGGTCGTCTTATACGCCGGGTGCATTTCAGTTGGGATAGACATAGCTGCCCATAGTGGCCTTCCAATGCTCGCCCGGTGCCTCCCGATGCCTGCACCCCTCATTCTACATACCATCCAGTATCGCACAGTATCCAGCGCGGCTGCAGCGAGCATCAGCAGCGAGACAGGGGTGCCAGCCTTTTCAACGTGACTGGCCCATTCTGCTTGGGGGGAAGCAGCGGCGTTCCAGCCCGCCCCTTGTCTACACAGAGCTCACACATGCGGACTTGTGCACCTGTGCCGGTCACAGGGAGATGCAGGGGCAGGCCGGAGGCGCTGCGATCTCACTGTGGCCGTACAATGGTGACAATGAATAGCACTTTTTATTTGGTGTGTGGAAGGTGTGCGGAAGAGGGGTAGTCTTATATGGTGAGTATATAACAAACTCTATATTTTGAGTGGAAATGTTAGGGGGGTCGTCTTATACGCCCAGTCGTCTTGTACGCCGGCAAACACGGGTAGTTTTAGTCCTTACTGACTGTCTTGCATAGTCATAATTGCATAGTCATAATTGCATAATCTTGGTCTTTGGCAACAATTTTCTTTACGAAGCAAGATTGTTATGCACCCCAATAATCACATATAGTTTCAATCTATGCTCCATTTTGGGATCTACACTAACAAAAATGAAAGACTCTGGCCCATACAGTGCTACTCTTCTGAGAGACGTAAACTATTTAATGCTACTTTCTGGATTTTTCAGTTTGTTATTCATGGTAGGAATCAGAGTGTCCAACTAACAGACACTGGGTTTTTTAGGCTATGCTATACTTATGCATCCCAACAATCAATGAGGAAATATATAGTTTTCAAAAAGCTAGCGGAACTCTCTGGCATCACAAGAGTTCAGAAAGAGAAATACTACTTGTTTTCCAAGTGGGAAAAGGGGTTTTGATGACCTTAATACAGATTATTTCTCAATCAGCAGATGTAAAATCATGCTTCACATTTCAACCTTTAATATACAGATGAGCTTTGATATTAAGCCAAGGGAAAAAGTGGGGACAGGATGCAATATAACCACACACCTTTGGCTGTGTTACAGCTATGTTGGTATAGAAAACAAAGAAAGTTAATTCAGAGACAAGGCTTCTTGGAACAGAATTGTCTTTACTCTGAATGGGCAAACATTTTTTGCTTTTTTTGTTTTTAAAGCATCCATTGAAAAATGATCAAAATGGAAACCCTTTTCGTATACTTGCTCAGTGGTGGCTAAAGATGTGCACTTTTCAATAATTTTACAGGGGTTGCTCCCCTGAAGCACTGCCCTCAGGTTGAACTGGCTTTGTTTCTTCCCAATGACATAAGGCAATCAAATCTGATTAGTATTTTAGCATCATGGCATAATCCCTCTAGTATGTAAAAATCCAACCCATCCCAAAGTACAATTGCACTTTTAGGAGTAACTGATTTATTTCAGTGTGAGCTTTAGTGAGTTACAATTCACTCCTTTTATTATGGGATTTCTGATCATATAAAAATTGTACATCTGATTAACCAACAAGGAAGGAAGTATTTGTAGCAGTGAAAAAAGGAACAGCAAAAATGTTTTGCAGAAGCAACAGAACCTGAAAGAGGAAATAGTGGCAATATAATTATCTAAAAGAAAGGTGAGAGTTCAAAACAGCAATTGCATTATATGTCACCGAAAACACCTGAAGACTCCCAATCCACTCTCTAAACGCTGGGAGGAGTGAGGAAGCAGACAGGCACCCTTTTCACTGGCCAACAGTTAACTGAAAGTTCAAATTTTGCACTTTCCCTGCCTCCCACGTGGTTTTTTTTCAGTTCTTAACTCAAATCTAAGTACTTAAGTCAAGTCAATATTTTCCTATGAGAGCGGTTCTTAAGTCAAAATGTTCTTAACTCAAGCCGTTCTTAAGTCAAGACCCCACTGTATATGTCACCGAAAACATGGTCTTCTACCACAGTGTCACAGACTTTTACATTTTTAATAATTTGAATCTATTTAAGCATAAAAGGCTTACAGGAAAATAAACTGTAACATTACAAAAAGCAAGCCAGAGGAACATCCATAGGAAAGATCAACCACTAAAGAAAAACTTAATGCCTTGGAAAGATCTTGTGTAACATTAAAATGAAAATGTGTGATGGTCTGGAAGATCTTGCAGATTTCTTGACCATTTATTGAACTGGACTTGCTAAAGATATATTTTCTGACCATTTAGCAAAGGAGCAATTAATGCTCGATCTTCTATAACCCTATTGTCCAAGTGACAATAATATAATCAAATGTCAAAATACAAAGTAATAATCAAATATCAAAAGATAGCATCATAATCAAAATGTATGTATACATCAGGGCACAGATGCTTACTAAATAAAAAGGCATTTATTAGGCACCCATGAGTTTGTGTTTTGCTTTGGCATCTGCAGCTTTTTGCCAGCCATCATCTAATTCGTAGAATCTACCTGTTTGAAAAAGAGGAGAAAATGAAGTTTAGATTATAGCATCAGTGTTTTATGTGGGTACAAATAGGCACAGAGAAATGCAAAAACCAATTGGGCAGACAACTAGGGACTTAGTTCTGTGATTAATGAGTATGAAATAGTATCCCAAATGTTCAAAGGGGGCATTCAAACAGAATGTTGTCCTTGTTTTAGGTTACTTACCTACAGTGCTCAAGTTATAAGCTAAGAGGTAGGTACGGAATTAATGAAATGAAGAAGCCCTAGTTCCAGAAGCTACTCAAATTTAGTCAAACTGTACCCCCCATAACATTCTACAAGTATCAACCAAGGAGTGGGTGGAAAAAAAAGTAAGGAGGCCAGGCTTACTAATACCTCCACAAAATATATCTCCAATGTGGCAGCCTGGCGGCCTTCCTCCAAGGCTCCTATGCCAAACTAGTAGATCCAATGAAGGATAATATTGTCACATAGCTTAATCTCTCTTTGGTTGTATTTAATATACTGTATGAAAAAGGGATGGAACCCAAGATTAGATTCATTTTAAACTGCAGAATTTTGGGAAGATCGGGGATGCTGCCTTCTCTCTTCTGTCCTGTGATAACAGAATGTCTAAGTATTAAAGAAATGTACAATTTGAAACAAGCACATCCCCAAATCAACTTCAGCAGTCCTGGTGATTATAAACAAATCTACATAACGAGCATGCTGTGCCAATTCATTTCTTTAAATGCTCTGGGACCAATTTAAACCATTCATATAATAATATGTTTAAGCAAGTGAGTGAACACCTACAGAATCATCCTCAGACTGGGGTATATAGCGAATGTAAATAGCAGTTTCAGCAATGAGTATCCTGTACCGTGACTATTATCTGAAATAGTTACCACACAAACTGGATATGGGGGTAATGGTCTTATAAATCAACAAATACACAAAGCATATTGTATATATACCTCATTTAGGAGAGGTAGGATATAATAGAAATACGTAATATGCATGAACTAATGATTTAAATATGATTCTTAAAACACTGATTAAATTTTCCCCACTGAAATGGCTAAAATTCATATTCTTAGCTTTGAGTACAGCTGGCTCAGAATTTCCATTAAAATAATAACAAGGTCCATACAACTGCATTTGAGTCATGGAGCTGCTCTGAAACCACACGGTTCAAGTGAACCATTTTGTCTTCTATCAGGAAAAAGGAATTTTGAGAATCTCGAGCAGACTCTCCCTGTGCGCAAGATATGACGAACTACAGTCTATGGACCACAAACCCTAACCTCATTCTTTCAGTTCCAGGATCAATTTTGCTGTAGCTGCCTATGGCAATGACGATAAATAAGAACAAAGATTTAAATTAATAAGTACATACGAAATAATTGTTTAAAAGGCAATCTGTGTGAAAAACAAATGCAAAACTGTTGAACCAGTGCTGCTGTTGTGTGTGTTTATCTGGTGTTTAAACTGTGCAGGCAAAATCCTTGACAATTCTGTATCTATTTTCCATCTATATGCATTGTTAGAAAAAGGAGGTTGAAGAATGGTAATCTACAGAACAGGTAGGATGCATCCTGTTTTTTTTTAATGTCACAGTTGTTTATTTTATTTCATATAATGCTACAGATATGATGTTTGCTGCCTCCTCCCCCTGCTTTTTTTTGCCACAATCTTTCTTAACAGAACGATAGCAAAGGTTCCAGGAAAAAGAAATCTGTATGAAACAGAGAGCAAGAAAACGTATAAGCCATTACAGAAGATTGAATTAAAATGTACTTACCCAGGCTTCTCAAATATCATACATCTCCATTATGTAGGCTTTAGGCACCAAGCCAATGGTTCCTTTCATTTCTCCTACCCACCAGCCAAATCTATTGTACTCCTAATTGAAAACAATATGCAATATTAACCTTTAGTCCGATATAAATGCAATAGAGTTTTGCATGCTACTCCTGAAGTTTCCTTCTTATATACAGTTACAATAGCATGAATGGAAAATTAAAACATTAAGGAATTGTCCATGTATGTGTTTGTGAAGCACTTCAAATGCAGTTAAGCACATAAGGAAATTACATTTCAAAAGACTAGCTGTTACCATGTCTGCACAAGGAGGAGGGGTAACTAACTACTGTACCTTTGGATCCCTACAGTAAGCTGAAGTTCACCCACTAAGCAAAAGGAAATGTGTAATGATATATTTTGTTTCTTGTTATATACAGTATATATAGAGATAACACTTTTCATGCAAATACTGTAACCTTAAGCATGATTTGCTGGATTATAATTTTTCTTTCATATATATACAATTACAGGGATCCCTACAGTAAGCTGAAGTTCACCCACTAAGCAAAAGGAAATGTGTAATGATATATTTTGTTTCTTGTTATATACAGTATATATAGAGATAACACTTTTCATGCAAATACTGTAACCTTAAGCATGATTTGCTGGATTATAATTTTTCTTTCATATATATATACAATTAATGCAATCTTCCTTGTATTGTAGCTTGTTTTTCACTCGTATAAGCCCAGCAGTATATTAGGTTCATTTTTAGGATATTTTGTTTCCACCAATAGATATACCGTATTTTTCGCTCCATAAGATGCACCTTTCCATAAGATGCACCAATTTTTTAGGAGAAGAAAACAGGAAAATATAATCTGTTTTCTTCGTTCCATAAGATGCACAGACTTTCCACCCCCCTGTTTTGTGGGAAAAAAGTGCATCCTATGGTGCGAAAAATACAGTACATGTTAGTTTGTCTTCCCTTTTCCTACCCAAACCATATAAATATGTGCCATATGAGAACTAATAATTGATAATAGACCACAAATAACAATAGGGACCCCTTATTTCTTCTATCCTTAACACAGCCTTAAACACTAAAAATGCTGGCTATTTAATATTAAATTGAAATGTAAAAACTATAATCTCCACCCCATGTCAGTCCCTTCACAGAGTCCAACATGGGTTTATGCTGTAAATTTTACCACAGTTCTCATATGCCTGACAGATGACTAATACATTTTGGTTTGAAATTTGTTTAGGGTTACCAAGATAAATCTGAAACAAAACAAGCATATGATAGTTTAAAGGAAACGACTTTCCAAAAGCAATACCAAGTAAGAGCTTGGTGGAATCCAAATTTAATTTTCTGCCTCTAAGGCACATATTGTTAAGATCAATCCTAACAGCAGCTCAATAATTTCTAATGGCTAAAAATGCAACCTAGTACAGCACATGGCAGAGGAAACTGCAGAGATTGTTCAAAAACTGAAAATGAACATACAACAAAGAAGGAAAACAGAACATACACAAATAGATATAGGGGAACTTCAACCTTCTATTGGAACATTTGCAGCTAGCTTGTCTCTGCTGAGGAAAGAATGATGTTTCTACCTTGAGCAGAGTGTTGATAGTATAGTAATAGGATGTAAATTTATTTGTCTGCCTGTAGAGATTTAAAGAGAAGAGGAAATCACTAATATTCTTTCCATTTCTTTTAATTCTTCCATCTCTTTTAATTTCTTCAATCTCTTCCAGTATCTACCAACTTTAGTGCCCACATATATTTCCCCTCCACCATAACCTTCAGTTCACACTAATTGCTCATCCACTTCCACCCATTAAGCCAGATCGTCCTGTTCTGTCAATCCTCCCCCTGCACTATATACTAAAGATAGCACATTGTTCATACAGGAAATATCTGGTTGCCTGGAACACATTTGATTGCCACTACAGGAGTTTTTCATAGCCCCCATAGTTTTACAAATTAGCTTGCTTGATTTTGTCACTGGTTAATGAGGGGTATGCACAGGCTTGATTTACAAGTATGATTTCTCAGTCATTAAGTCCTGCTGGAATTGCATCTCTGAAACAGTAAATGGGTTTCAACTTCTAACAATGTGCTATCTCTTGGCCCTGAACATTCAGATAATCTGCACCTTCCCATCCTGAAGCTTCTGTACCTCTATCCCTTTTCAAGGACATAATTTTGTAATATGATGCCAACCTTCTCACTGTGAGGCAGAGGCTCTTCTATAGGTAGGCTTTACTCACTAAACAAGATAACTGATTTTTTAGGATGGCTGCTATCGTGGTTGAATACATGAATGAATAACCTTGACTTCTCTTGTAGCATGGTCTTGTTATATGCCAACAACTCAGAACTGACTTATAGTGACCCTAACAGGGCTTTCAAGGTAAATGAGGTATATAATAAGTGGTTTTTACCAGTTCCACATGCCCAGTAAGTTCCTATGGGTGAGCAGGGATTTGAACCCAGGCCTTTTGAGTCCTTGTCTGTCACTCTACCCATTACATCATACTGGTTATATGTAGTGTGTAGGAGATTAAAAACATTAGAGAAGCCATAAAAGCTGTGAGAGAGGCTGAATGCATTCATTTCACTTAGCCATCACAGCAAGTAGCACAATCAGGCTCTGATAACAAAATCATAGGCTGGGGGTGGGGGCTGGAGGAGGAACAAGAGAAGATCTACAAAGGGCAATTTCCCCTGTCCTCTGTTGCCATGAATGATGCTGGTTCACCAGACCAATGCAACTGGGCCACTCTGGCAACCACAATGAAAACCACACTTTTGTAACCTTGGAATGATTATTCTGGAGCTAAAACCCTTAAAGGCAAGAGGACTTTGCCATCTCACCAGGGGTTCAGATGTTCCAGCTGTGTTTGTTTGTTTAATAAACACATGTTTTATCCCACATTAGCCTGCTTAAATACACAATCTCTGTCTCTACAGACATGGAGAACGAGTCATCACTCATGATGCCAGCCTTCACCTGTGCTAGAGGAATCTTGCCAAGAAAGCTTTCCAAAAAGCTTGGCGGGCAAAACCAACCACCACTTTTTGAATGTTAGCTGGAGAAAAAGCTCCTGCTCAGGGACAGAGAGCAAACAAACAATATGACATTTGTGGAGTGCGGCTTAGTTAAGTGATCATTAAAGGCTTTTATGATTGATGGCAGAGAATAAAAGCACTGTAGTCAATTAGAGAATGGAAATATTCCACACAGACATTTGCAAGAACTTGGAAACAACACAGTTTGGAGAGGAAGGGGGGGCTGTCCTACTTTAGAAGTCTTCAATTAAATTAAAAAATACGCCACGTCCACCCTCCTCAATATTGCCTGTTTTGTTGTTGTTGAAGAATGTATGATCTAATGCACTTGCACGAAGCTAAGTGTTAAGATGAAGTAGATGATGATGTAACAATTTAGAAAGCTAATTTATGGATTGGCTGCAGCCATTGGAATAAAGAGAAAGGAAGAAAATAGCAAGCCAGATGATCTTCCTTTATCATTACTATGGCTGGTATGAGCCTTGGGAGCATGAAGAATCCCAGATTAAGAGCTTTGTAGTATAAAGCAAGCAGGAATGAAGCAGAAACAAAACTGCTTCACTTGGAACATTATGCTTTAACCTGGGGTTAGAATCATAATTGCAAAGAGGCCTCTGTTTAACTAGCTTATGTGTTTACAGCCCTTTTCTAAAATGCTTTTAAACTCTGTTTGCTCTCTGATATGGACATATTACTTATAGTCAAAATGCAAGGTAGGGTACACCTTGAGACTCTAATGCTTAGTATTGTAAAACACAGCAGTAAATAGTTGCGAGTTTTTTGGACTAAACTCTCCACCTCCCCAAATTTCCCATGCTGTCTGGAATATTCCAGTGGCTGTGGTCTATGTAAGTAACTTTTACAAGCTCTTGCACTAGCATCATGCACAGAAGAAATCATAAAACACATTATCCAGAGGAAAATAAAGACAGGGCAATTCCTATAGTTTCCATTCTCTGCATGTTTTTCTTAAACCTACCACCTGCCATGCCTTTATTAGTTATGCATGCATCTAGTTACTTAAAATATTATATTAAATGTTTGTTCAAATGATAATCTCATGTTTACACAAACAAGAGACTATATGCATGTAAAGAATATGAACTGCCATACATAATACAGGTAAATTCTAACTGTACCCATGTCTCACAATTCACAAAAAACAGAAAAAAAATAACTTCTGCTGTGGAACAGCTCCTTAAATACACAACTGACTCATTCAGGACATCACAAAGATTACTGATCATCAGGAAGGAATGTAGATTTTGATATGGTTTCTCTTGAATTTTAAGCCATGCCTCAATACTGCAGCTAACAAAGAGAATCTACCAATCATCCAACTGTTTAGTATCAGCGGCCAAATGGCTAATTCTGGAAGCTTCATGCAAGCTGCTTATTTATACCTTATTCAGGTGTGAATTAGCCTCCCATCTGGTATTCCTCAGTGTACTTAGGTAATGCTGTGTATTCTTCCCATCAACTCTAGCTTTGGCAATTGACTCCACTTCAGAGCTACTGATAAAATAATGAAGAGTCCTTTAATCTGCAGGAAACCATTCCAGTCAATTTATAAGAAATATTGCATTCCTTTGTACCATGTGTAATTATTTTCTATTAATCATGCACTATAAAGCCACATTATGTGGTTATTCTGTTATCACTAGGAAGAGGCCTGCAGTCAGCTCCTGACAATGTTAGGTAATTACTAACACAAAGCTTCTTTCTCCTTCTGTAGAATCGCTATCAAGATCCTGGAGCACTGCAATGCTTTATTGTTGGGAAAATAACACTGCAAAGAAATTAAAGAGCTACGTAATGAATAGCTTAAAGGCAAGCTTTGGTGTTTGGGAAATCAGGGGAAGGAGGAGAGGTAAGAAAACTATTTCGAATTTGGGGAGACTGGATTCAGATTTTGTCACTTAGACTCATTGAAATTTACAGGTTGTAAGCTTCTCGTACATATCTTGCTTAAATCCCATTGATTTCAGGCACCCACTCTGAAGGATACCCAACCCTTT